CGCCACTCTTTTTAATCGCCAAGTATTGTCATACAAATTGTTTGAACTGGAGCAATTCAATCCCAAGGATTAGGATCATTTAAGTAGTCCTCAAATTTATAAAAGCTTTGTTGATTAATTTTCGTTTAACGAGGGCTTTGAATTTATTTAGTGATAATTCTCTAATTTCGCTTGGGAGCTTGTTGTAAAAACGAATACAATTTCCATATAAGGAGTGGTTTATCTTTTGGAGCCTGGTTGGTCGTACACTCAAATTAGTTCTATTTCGCGTATTATACTGGTGAAAGTCACCATTTGTTTTAAAATCGTTTATATTTTTTTGGACATACAACAAGGCTTCAAGAATATATTGACCAGATAGTGTCATAATATTTAATTCCTTAAACTTATTCCGTACCGACTCCTCGGAGAAACACAACAAATACCCCGAACAGCCCGCTTCTGCAGCACAAATATGGATTGAACCTCTGCAGCAGCACCCCACAGTAAAATGCCGTACGACATAACGCTATGAAAGTAGCTATGGTACACAATTTTAGCCGTGTCCTCATCAGTAAACTGTCGGATTTTCTTTACTGCATATGCTGCAGAGCTCAGCCTATTCGAAAGAGTCTCTATGTGTGGGCCCCATTGGAGTTTACTATCTATTGTTATGCCTAGAAAAACAGTTTTGTCAACAAAGTTTAGTTCACTGTCCTTAATTTTCAGGTTACCAATATCTCGCTTTACGCTAGTAGTTGTAAATCTAATACATTTTGTTTTATTCTCATTAAGCAATAAGTTATTTACATTAAACCAGTTAACTATACGAGAGATAGAATTGTTTACATCGTCCAATAATACGTTATTCCTATTCACTTTAAATAGAAGTGAAGTGTCATCAGCAAACAATACCATCTCATGAACTTCGTTGACAAAGAATGGGAGGTCATTTATGTAAATCAGAAATAAGAAAGACCCGAGAATCGATCCTTGGGGGACGCCCATTGATACCTGCGAACCCGGAGAGGTGACTCCATTGACATGAACTCTTTGGATCCTTCCCTTTAAATATGAATTCATCAGGCTGGAAGCTTTGCCATCAACGCCATAGTGTTGAAGCTTTCCAACGAGTATATCAGGATGAACACAGTCAAAGGCCTTTGACAGGTCACAAAAGACGCCGACTCCATCATATGATTCTTCCCAGGCGTTAAATATGTCCGAAATCAACTTCACACCGGCATCGATTGTGGAGCGACCCTTAGTGAAACCATACTGTTTATTATGTAAGAGTTTATTTTTATTAAAATGTAAAGAAAGCTGGTCTAGCATTATCTTTTCAAAAACTTTGCTCAACGCAGGGAGCACGGAAACAGGTCTGAAGTTTGACGGATCAGACTCACTACCGGCCTTGAACAACGGTGTAATCTTACTTAATTTCATTTCGTCCGGAAAGACTCCACAATCGATACATCTGTTAAAAATTATAGACAATTCAGAGCTTATTACATTAATAACGGAATTTAAAATGACTGTTGACATACCCCATATATCTTTACTTTTTTTAAATTAATAAGCTTAAAAGTTTTAACGATATCATTACAAGTTATATGTTTAAACTGAAATTTAATATTACATTCAGGTACACATTTTTCTAGCAATGAGATCGCAGCAGCAGGTGAAGAATCTAGGGACTTGGTCGTAGCTAGCTCTAATATAATATAGTGTAAGATATGTTAGTATTAGAATCTTATTGTCTGTGTCATTGTTCATTTTTAAAAGGAGGTAATTCTTCTCTTACTGATACTATTATTGTTTCACCGGATCGGACGTCTAAAATACGACATGTGAGTTGTTACACGCTAGGCATGGAGGTGACTCTTATTAAAGTTACCGAATATTTTATCGTCCAATTTATTAGACAAAATGTTTCAAACTGTAGGCTAGTTAAAGACAAATTCGTTTAATCATTAAGAATAACACACGTGAACGCTTATGAACGTCACTTAAGCCTGTTTACAGTCTGTTAAAAAAATCGCCTTGACAAGTACAGCTTAGGAGCTCTCTCGGGTTCTAATTTAATTCAAAATAATAACGTTATTTAGTTAAAATACTCCAGAATGATTAATTTATGTATAACTATTCTGGAAGGAGGAGAGCAGTATTGGCCTAGCTTCAGCGTGTGACTCTAATCCCTGAGGCCGTAGGCACGATCCCCGGCTGTACCAATGGACTTAGAATGAAGAAAAACCGGCTTGTCTTAGTTCAAAAAGTCGATGGCGTGTGTCAGGCAAAGGAGGCTGATCAACTACTTGCCTATTAGATTGACAAATGATCATGAAACAGATTCAAAATCTGAAGCCTAGGCCTAAAAAGGTTGTAGCGCCATTGGTTTTCTTTTTTTAATCTGTAAGAAGTAGGATGAAGATAAATGTTGACGTTTACTTTTTAAATCAAGCGAAATCGGACCAAATAATTACGAATTTAATGTATATTTAATACCCGTGATAATGGGTTAATTTAATAATAAAAAATTGCAACTCCATAAAATCGTGTATTATTATATAAAAGCGATAAACAAATTTATTGATTTTTGTTACAACAGTGCCTCTAATAATAATTTGCGGTACTATATCCACATGTTACCGACGCTAATATTGAGTAATGCCTTTTGGCACCAATCATGATATTAAGCGGTAATAATACTCCAATGGCTCAGTGGTGTCTATGGAATACATAAACAAGAATCTAAGGGTTGACACCGCAAGTATAATATTAACGCTAACGAAGTAAAAAGGCTGGTATTACCGCCGCTAAAGAATCATAATTCGAACCAACAGTGGGTATATGATGTGGCCAATGCACAATCAACATATACTTACAATGAGTCTCCAAAAAACTACGACTCGTAATGGTAACGGCTGGTGCTTTCTATCTAAATTTTTTTACTGAGTCATGTATCTCATTACCAGCAAATAGATATATTTAATGTAATTTAAAAATGGTTTGAAAATATTAATAAAATAGCTCTGGTATTTTTTATTAAGGGCTTTGTTATTCCTCTTTTATATTAAATATATTATAATGATCAATGCATCTTAAAATTCATAATAATATACATTTCTTTGTAGAAGTAGGTAATAATTGTTTTATTTATGTTAATGTTTGAATGTCTATTCCGTTTTTGGCTTTTGTGTATAATGTAATTGTTTAGATATTGTATTATAGTTAGCTGTAGGAATACTGATAAGCAAATAAATAAAATAAAAGGTTACGTTAAAAATAAAACAATAGATTTGTGCTATTCGTAAAAAACTAAGTAAATTAAAAAAAATATCAACCTACTAAAATGCTATTTTCTAAGCTATCCTTAGAAACTTTTAGCCTTGGTAATAATATCAGAAATATTCACGGCAAGAGCAGATTTACGCTGCTTTCAAATTTATGTTTATTCACTGATAAGAGATCTGGGTTATGGATTATTTTCACTATCTATAAAGTATTATGGGGTACCGAAATAACTATGACCACGTTTATACTTCGCCTGGTCACTATAGTCTATGGTTTAGTTATCTAATGCAACCTTATTAAACCTCGTTACACGAATATCATAGACAATTTCTATCTAAACTATTTCTAAAGCAAAAACTATTGTCTATGATAGATACTTCAAACCTAGCATGCCTATATTGTTTGTAAACCTTAGTAGCTCATAATTAGTATAAGTCACCGTAGAATGATTACTTCGTATGTCAAAAAACCATTTATTTTTGAAGTGAAACTTCTTTATCGAGGTTGGAAAAAAATTTAGTGTAACATTTTTTCGTTACGCGTCACATTTTTCGGTTACGCGCCATGTTGCTTTTTGAAGTCAAACTTCTTTATCGGCGTTGGAATGAAACTTCTTTATCGACGTATGGGAGAAATTTTGTAGCAAATCGTCACGTTTTTCAATGATAGTAATAATTCTATTACAATTAATGAAATTCTATAATAATCTTCGTAGTAATAAGGTAAAATGAAATATTTGTATTCATGTCTATAATAATAAAAGCCTTTTGTTAAACTTTATCTAATTTAACGAATTTCTGTAAAGTTGCATATAGTAGATCATTTTTCGAAAAATAAGATCATAAAGAAGTTTCACTTCTTACGTGTGTACACCTAGTACACGCACAATTTATTTATTCTTAGACTCTTATGTCATTAAAACTGGTATAATCTAATGTAGTAAGGACTTTTTTATGTTATTAATAAATAAGTTCTTTTTACCATCCAAAACTATGGTCAAAAGCACAAAAAAAAGTAAAAAACATTTATTCATGTAGGTAACACAATGTAGGTACAGTTATGAACGACAATAAATAAATATACAGTCCATGCTTCTAATTTTACATTTACTGCCAGTTCTCAAACAAGGGCGTAGAACGGAAGAGAAGAACTGGCAATAAACTTTCCGCTACCTTTTTAAATCGCCTAGTTTTTTGTTTTTACGAACAACACATAATAATATTTTAACGACGAAATGAAACATTTTTTTCGTTTTCTGCTATGTTTGGTTCTCTGGACATACGAGGTTATCATTCTACAGCGACGGTATATTATAAAGAAACAATTATATTTCATAGATTAAATTCTTTAGATTATTAATTATCTAATATGTGTTAACTGATGTTTCATTTAATTTATTTGTGTGTGGAAAATACGTTAAATTAATAATATAGCTTGTCATTTAAACTTTGATTCGAAGATTTTTTCTTAGAACATTTTGGATCATAAACCAAATAGGATAAAAGTGATAGTTTTCTTAAAATACATATTTCAGCATTCATCACATGTATTTAGGAGTTTCTATAAATATTTTTAAAATTATAATTTGTAAATTTTATAATTAAACGCGTTTTAACAATTAGAAATTATAAAGAATAGCTTGTCGCAATAGAGCAAGGCGTGCGAAACTATAACACCTATAAATAGATTGTTTATCAGGACCGTTTCACAATTTTTATTACTGCTCTTTAACGGGCCGTTAATCTCGCTAATCTCGCGATCATAAGGAATTTGTAATCAAAATATTGGCTGGCTTTGATCGTCATATTTTGTGCCTAGATTACAATCACTGTAATTCTTTAATGTCGAATTATTCCTGAGACTATTTGTCAATCAAAACCAAATCATTACAAAAATTGTTATTAACTATTTCTTTATTGAAATTTATTTATGGTTAATTGGGGCTTACTGCAAAGTAAGGGATGTAATACAATTTAAAAACGCAATAAAATTAATGTCTCTGTAATGCCATAAGACGTAATAATAATATTAAAAGCCTATTTATTTCAAGTTGAACATGATAGTTCTGTCAGCTCATTGTTTCTGGATATCTGTGTGCCCTCTTGGCAAAGGCCTCCTCCAAACAGACATAAATTTTGACACACAAATATGTATGAATATTTTTATTCAATTACTTTAAAATTCCGGATTCAATCGCTAATCTCAGTATCCAGTAATTTCACGTAACTTTGTGAACGGTTTCCATTTGATTAATTGAAAAGTTTATTAAAAAAATCGCATATAGAGATATTAGAGATGTACTCGTAGTTTATTTGAAACTGTTATTTTAGTCTTGCCATTGAACCCAGACCCGTATTAGCCACATTAATTCAGTAATCAAAGTGATTTACGATATACATTACACATTTAATCTCGCGGAAGAGATTGAGTTGTAACTCATTTCAATTTCCTCTAAAAATCTTTTGATGAATGACTGATATCTTGCATCCTCATAAGTTATAAACATATGATATCATTAGACATAGTATGGACAAGGCCCGCCCTGATATTTAAAACTTTATATGAAATTATACACAATTTTTAATTTTAATTATGCTTGAGACCACTGTGCACTGTTTATTAGTAGGCACTGTATTAATAAAAACTATGTTTGTAGAATATAAGTTCAATTATTTGTACCGAAAAGACGGAATAACATTTTATTATATAGTGCTGGCGGTTTATCACTATTATCATATTTAGTTAACCAATTCTTATAAGTTTATCAAATATAAATTAAACTAAAACTCACCTGAAAGAATAGGCAAAAACACACCCATTGGTAGTATTTATAAATCTTCCTATCACTCATATCTTCCTTCCCTTTCTCGCGGCTGTTCCCGATGCCTGGGTATGGCACCTCGACGCCGACCTTCTTGTTGAAGAAACTCTTAAGGGTGTACGTTGAATGTATCCAGCAGTATGTGTTCAACACGTCCTCTGGTATATCCTTGGTGTGGATGCAGTCTATTGGATTTCCGACGTACTGTCTGGTCGTGACGATAAGGCTGAACGAGATCAGTAGTATGACAGTTATAGAATAATGTAGCCTAAACACCGGTGAGTCGATGTGTACATAGTTCACCTTTATGAGATTTTTTAATCCGCGAAAAACGTCTAACATCTTAAATTCAGTCCACACCACACTTTGAATCCATTCACTAACATTATTTTACTCTATTTATTGTTGTAAGCACCAATTGAATCGATAGTTCGATGTTGTTAAGGCACTTTTTAATTTGGCAGTGTTGTCATTATCAAGCGCACCGTTCTTGTAACTTTTTTGGTATTTTTATGAACTTTATGAACGATACCATTGTGTCATATTTTCTACGTTTCATAATTGTTTTGTGTCATTTATCTGTCTTATCCATGATGTGATAACGTAGAGAGATGTGTCATCGAGCTGCGGGCGAATTATTAGAATATTCTTAATTAGGTGAAGAGGTTTCGTGAATAATTGGAATATTAATAGTATATTCGTTCCAGCCGGCACTTATGCACCGAGCTAAAATTTACGCTGTCAGTTTAAACGGTCGTCAGCCAAAATCGTCCGATTCATACTAAAATAGTTTTTAATTACTTTATTTTGAATTATACTAATGCAAAGATTGGACAGTTAGCGGTGTCTAATACATTTTATTAATTAAAATTGTTTTGTTTAGACTAAATAAGCGTGCGGGATTTGTTAATTTATTTCGGTCTAGGTCGCTTAAAACACCGTCTTTAAAACTAGACAAGGAAGGATTATTGTATTTGTTACGACGTCCGGGCAGACCTTGTTATAGCTAAATCGACTGATTTGTGCCGATCATGTTCGACCGCATATTACCTAGGTACCATCCCAGGTGGGGTTTTTACCAATGGTATTGAATAAGAGACGTAAAACTAAGCTGTCTCTTTGGTCTTGTTAGCATGATCGACTGCAGGGGTACTCTGTAACTTTCATAGCACGCTCTGCGGTTTTTTATAGTTTTGAAGTAGTTCCCACAGTATTTTTATCACTACATTGGGGTCATACAGAATTGTAATTAATGTTCCTATCTATTTAGAGAGCTCTGGTGCCAATATTTTAAAGAAAGCATTATTGAGTACCTAAGCCACTTTTTTGGTATTTTTTTTTGCTTAACAATATTTTTTTTAGTTTATTATTATATATTAATTCGTTTATTTTACATATGTTATTATTGTATTATAATTTTTTGTAACATTTATATTTATTTAAATTATCATTTATTTTAGAAAACTTGCTTGTAACATATACTGTTAATATAGTATTATGTATGATTTGGTAAACTTCAATATATAAATAAGAGTATAAAAAAAATAGGAATGATTTTTTACTAAATATTGATAGTACAAAAATATATAACCTTTTTACGAGAACAAAAATATACAGATTTCTTGAGACCATTATTTCTTTAAATTAAATTCAGAACAACACGTGAGGTCAGAGAACAATAAAATACGAATGTAGGACTTCAAAGGAGTCGTAACCTGTCAAAACGTACACCAGGTGAATGTCATCATAACTGCTCATTGTAAATTATAACGTCTTATGACGAAATACATTCGGGATCGAAGATTTGTATATTTGGATGAGATTTTGACATACGTATAGAACGCGCTAAATTCTGAATTGTACGATAGATATATTATAAGATAAACTATATTTAGGAAACCAACACATCTAAGATGTAATAAATAGAAGTTTTTGTGAATGAGGTTCCCAATGCAAGGAATTTAATTGTTCATAGCATTGTCTTTGATTGACATAACCATTACACATTTAAAGAAAAAACTTTTTAACCGGATTAAACCACCGTGGTCGTGGTGCGTGGTCACCGTGACCACGCACGCTGTAAAGCACGCGAAACGTCGGATAAATTTAAAATTATGTTAAATAATTGTAAATTTATAATAATACATTAATTATTATTAATCCGGTTAAAAAGTTTTTTTTTTAATTTAATTGTTTACATAAAAATAGCAGTATTTTTTTAGTCTATTAATGAAAGTACAAAAGTAACTCCATAGTACATGGTACGAAAGTGCAGATTCCGCTAATTTGTACGATTATTTAATTCCTATGAAATTAATCAGAATTACGCGTGCGTTATTATACTTCAGCAGTTGACTATCCTGAAATATCAGTTTGACCGAGAACGTTGCATTTCTAACAAGTAAGCACGAAAGCAGATTCAAAAGATTAAAGAAAATGTTAATTACAGTATTTTTTATATTATATTACCTTGATAAACATGTGTATTATTCATAAACACGGGATCAAAGAAAAACTTTATTCTTTGTCGTAAACATTTTTACAACAATTTATGATTATTTAAATCGTCTTTTGAAATGTGAATGATGTGTCACTTCTAACGGTACTAAGCGATTTAATAAATTGTAGTATTTAAAAAGAAGAGATTTGTCATAGTGAAAACTATATATATGTCAGAGATAATATAATAATAGAACACGATATCATTTGTTTTATTAGAATGGCAACACCACAGAATATCATACCCATCTTACAGGTTGTAAATTGTCAATGTCTCAAAGACAATTTGTCAGTCGTGATCGGCGCCTGCACGGGATGTGCGTACTGACTTATTTTAAAATAAAATCCAATAGTCGGCACGTTTCTAAATCTGGCTAATATTAATCGCGTCGAATCTGCGACATATACACAGATTGCGAGTGATTCGCTCCGTACTGTGGTCGTTTGAATTTTAACTAAGCAATATTTCTTTAAATTGACTCTTATGGTTATAGGAAACTGTCATGTCTTAAAAACAAAAGACGACGGCAGTCATCTCAGTTAAGACTTGGCTACATTCAGGTCTAAGAGGAATGCCGCAGGTTGTGTTCAAGGGGACAATCATAAGTCCAGATTATTAGTTACAATATGGTCCTAAATAAGTTAGCTTTAAATTATATTTAATCATAACAACTAATTATCACTGTTAGTTCAACAGTATTTTTTACCGTGCAGTCCAACCATGTAAGGGCAATCCAGCTTGGCGCTACTACGGCCATTATTTTAGTATTCGATCGGGGTTGCACAGGTTAAAAGGCTTTATTAGTTATTAAAGACTACTCTATCTCTAAATAATTAATTAAAATATTATTATGTTAAGTTCATCAGAGATTTCCCGGCCGATTTCGAGAAAACAAAGCCAATTCCGTCAGGCTTCATGCCATGAAAATTCGTTTCACATTTAACCGATTTTAATTTTAGATTGAGGCAGAAAAAAATTGAAATATTACTCCAATCTTGTTAATAAATGAAATCCGTGTACATCTATTTATAATGTTTAATTTTATATGAACTTCGTTGATAGGTTATTTTATTATTATCAAAAAATGTAATAAAATAATTTCGATATGTTTATCATATGCTCTTATTAATAAAATAAATATAAAAAAAACAGTGGCGCTATAACCTCTTTAGGTCTTGGCCTCAGATTTCTGAATCTGTTTCATGATCATTTTTAAATCTAATAGGCAAGTAGGTGATCAGCCCCCAGCGCCTGACACACGCCGTCAACTTTTTGGGTCTAAGACATGTCGGTTACCCCACGATGTTTTCCTTCACCGTTCGAGCAAATGTTAAATGTGCACATACAAAGAAATTCCATTGGTGCACAGCCGGGGATCGAACCTACGACCTCAGGTATGAGAGTCGCACGCTGAAGCCACTAGGCCAACACTGCTCTAATAATATTCGAGTTTATTGTACACTGGATACTTTGTTACAATAACAAGATAGTAATTTAACTCAGACATATTAACAATACTGTTTACCTACAAAGTAGTAATAATAATAATTAAAAGTGTATAATTATAGAAATCTAAAATGAATTTAAAAATGTTGGTCCTAGGCAGTGTACCTTTAATGTTGGCAGCGTTTCCTCGCTGTATTGCGATACTTATTCCTTGAGCGAGGAAAGCACCAGCTCTTAATTAATATAAACATTAAATACAAATTACATGCGATTAATCAAGACGACTGGAAAGATATAATGTTTTAAAATCCAAGCCCTTATTCCAAAGATATACTATATTTTTGAATACATACTATTTAATATTGTAGTAGTTAAGTATTTTATTTCTATTTCTTTAGCTACCTCATAATAATAGTTACACTTCTTTGTTCTGGTTGCAAAATATACATTGTTAGATTATTATTTTTTGAGTTTTGGATTATGTTATCTTAGTTTTGTGCGTAACTTTCGTACTGTGAAGGGTGGATGTTATTAAATAAATAAATAATAATAAAAACTTTATTTATGACAAAAGGGTTGTGACAGAATACATATATCGCTAGTCCCCACACTAGGGAGGCCTTGTGTTGTGGGTAACTAGAAAACAATTAATACGTGGTACGTGTTTAAAACAGAAAAAAAAATTGTGTTACAAATTAAGAATGAGTGAATAAGTGAGTGTGAATGGGTGTGTATGCGCATGTATTTGAGAGTGTAGCTGAAACTTGTTATGATCGTGCACTGTCTGTGTTAGTTTTTGAAACTTCAAAGTCATACCAAGATATGTAGTAATGCCTCTGTAGATTCGAAATCCAATTTGGCTAGTGTAATTGTGACTTGCGAGTTTATATCTGGATAGTTTATCAGTCGACATGGACCAAAATTTTCTCAACATTGTTTTTTTTAATGTGTTTTTAACAAAACCAGAGGTAGCTGTTCCTCGTCTAGGCGACGGCTCAATTACTTCATTATACCAGCCCGAGATTATCTCAATAATTGCAACTATTGGCAGGTTTCCATATCGCTCGCTCTGATAGCGAACACCCTTGTAAATCGAGTATTATGCCTCTAAATAAATGCTATTATTGGTTGAGTGGTTTAGGTATTCATGTACGGAAGTAATACAAATTTTAATGAAAATACCCCTATGGATCACAGACACAGGTTTTAGTTTTTTTTTAAGAAGTTGTACTGAGCGTATATATTTAGTAAAGAATCAACTGAATTGTAATTTTACAGAATTAGATTATGTTTCCTTCAATATGTAATTGGAAAGAAAGTAATGTATGTTTTGTTTAATATTCAAAGATACAACATATTCTTAATTCATCCATAATATGGTTTATGCAAAGATTTC